CCAGTCGTTTGGGACAGTTTCCTGCTCCCACAGTTTCACTAGTAATTCATGCAAAGCATCAACAAGAGCAGAGCCTCCAAATTTGAAGAGGGCTGGAGGAAGATCATCTGGTCCCGCGTCTTTGTTCAACTTCAACAGTTCGATCTCACGTTCCACTTCTGAGCGAGAGGGTGGATCCAAAGGGACAGCCAATGGAGCGGGGCGATCAGTGACCGGCGAATCGAACAATTCTTGCCGATTAAATTGCTTTTCAAAATGCTCAGCTCAACGCTCCAGACGTTTTGACAAATTGTGGATAGGCTGTCCACTCTCGTCACGTATAGTTTCACTAACACCAGGTCTCCTGCTGCCCGTTTCCCGTATCAGACGGAATAACTTACGATGGTTGCCCAAGGGCAGCGGCCACTTCCATCTCTGACGCACGATGAGACCACCAAGATTCGCGGTCTCTTTTCAGGCTAGCACGGAGTTTTGCCCGGAGCTCTTTGCGAGTTTCATTGTGCTCGCTTCCAGCCGGGATTTGCCGGCGAGCATCTATAAGTTCCAGAGACTGCGAAGAGACCCAATGTCCATGTTGTCTATTAGACATACCACATGAGGATTTGCCTGCTGCTAGTAAGGTCTGGCGAACATGTGACCAGTGACCATCAATTGTCTCCTGTGAGCGCTTGCTCAACTCGCATGTTAGCGTACTTCGATACGCATTCAGAACAGCTGGTTTTGTCAGTTGGTTGGTGTCAATACGCTCACAGCGTCATCGTGGTCGTCCGCCAAAACGCATTCGCATGTCAGCACATACAAGTGCATGATCGGTGTCCACATATGTGCTCCAAATCGAGCGACAATTCTGGATGCAGCCTCTCCAGCTGTAACTTATCGCAATGTGATCGATCTGCGTGCAAGGCTGGTTAGAGGTTGGTGGGCGCCAAGTCACCCTTCGGCGGGTGCTGTGTCGGAAAATAGTGCTCACAAGAAATAAGCGAGCATCTTCACACAAATGAAGTAACCGCTCACCGTTATCATTACGGGAGCCTACACCGTGTTGACCGCCCAGATGCAGTTCATCAGTGGACAACTTTCCAACTTGTGCGTTCATATCCCCCGCCAGCACAACAGTGTCCGTGCTTCTTCTGTGGCGAAGGAGCTGGGTCAGTTGGCGGTAGAAGTCGTTCTTTACCGAATCATCGCTACAGTTTGTGG